GGGGGTCCATGGGGCTGAGCCGGGGCGGCAGGGAGGGGGCAGGATACTGGGCAGGGGGGGTCCATGGGGCTGAGCCGGGGCGGCAGGGAGGGGGCAGGATATCGGGCTAGGGGGGTCCATGGGGCTGATCCCCAGGGCGGGGGCCGCGAGCTGGCTGAGGGGGGCTGGGTTTGCGCGGGTCCCAGGCTGACGGGAAGGTGTAAGAACAGCTCAGGGAAGTGGCTGGGGTGTGAAAAGCAGACGCAGAGAACAGCAACTCCGCTAACCACTGGAGAACGCTCCTCCCCGCCCCCACCGGGGCTAGAGAGAGACCCATGCGTCCTGGCTCCCAGCCCCCACCCCCACCCTCTAGCTACTAGGCCTCACTCCCCTCCCAGAGCCAGGGAGAAAACCCAGGCGTCCTGGCTCCCAGCCTCCCTCCCTCTAACCACTAGGCCCCACTCCCCTCCCATTGCTGGGGAGAGAACCCAGGCGTCCTGACTCCCAGCCCCGCCTCCTGCTCTAACCACTAGCCCCCACTCCCCTTTCCCGGGGCAGGGGGAGAACATGAGTCACTGCAGCAGTTTGACTCAGCGGGGCCCAGCTGGGGCGACTGGGATGCTGGGTGGGCGGGGGAGGGGCTATACCAGCAATGGGGGGGGGGGGGGCCCCTGATTCCAGGGCTCCTGGGCCCAGCTCGGGTTCCTCTTGCAGGTCCGGTAGCCAAGACTCTGCCCGGTGGCCCGGCTCGGCGGGAGATGTGGGCCTGTAGCGTGGGGAGCTGCCTGCTGGCCGTGCTCAGCCTGGTGCTGCTCTGCATGGCTCTCGTCACCGACTACTGGCTCGTGGCCATCGGCCCCATGGCCACGGCCCACAGCGGGCTGTGGCAGGAGTGCCTGCCCGTTGGGTGCCAGAGCCCAGCCCACGTCACCGGTGAGCAGACGGCTCGGATGCGGCCACCTCTGGGGTGGGGCGGGGGCTGCTTATCCAGGGGCCTCTCACCCCGCGCTGGGATGCGGCCACCTCTGGGGTGCGGCGTGGGGGTATTTATACGGGGATCCCACGCCCGGCGCTGAGACATGGCCATCACTGGGGGTCGGGAGGGGGGCTGGTTATACAGGGACCCCTCGCCTGGTGCTGGGATGCAGCCACCTCTGGGGTGGGATGGGGGGGCTGGTTATACAGGGACCCCTCGCCTGGCTGGGATGCAGCCACCTCTGGGGTGGGACGTGGGGGGTATTTATACAGGGCCCCCTTGCCCGATCCTGGGGTGTACATGGACAGCTCTGCCGATGCCCCTCACTCCCGACCCGCAGCCCCCTGCTCCCCCAGCCCTGGCCTCCCCTGGTGCAGGCGGGGGGTTGGGACTGCGGGGCGGGGCGGGTTCCTCATTAACCCTTTGTGTCCCTGTCCCCCCACAGGGTATATACAAGCCACAAGGGCCTTCCTGATCCTGGCCGCGCTGGCCACCGCCGCGTCCGTCCTGTCCCTCCTGCTCTCCGTGACGTCCTGCGTCCGCATCCCCGTGAGCACCGACCTCCTGGCCTCCATCGCAGCCTTCACCGCCGGTAGGGACCGGACTCAGGGCCTGTCCCGTCAGTGGGTGGGGGGCGCTGGTTCGGCCCCAGGGCGGGGGCTGGCTGGCCCGGGGGGCGGGGGGGGCAGGGAATGGGGTACGGGCCCTGTCCCCTCTAGGGGGCGCTGGCTCCCATCCAGCCCCAGGGTGGCGGACTGACTGGCCGAGGGGGTCCGATCTGGCCCCATGGGGGGAGGGGGCTGGCCGAGGGGGTCCGATCTGGCCCCACGGGGAGGCGGGGGAGACCGGCCGGCTCGGGGGCTCTAACTCCCCCCCCCCACAGGCAGCTGCACCCTCATTGCCATGGGCGTCTACACCGGCGAATCGTGGCACAAGAACCAGGACGGGCAGATCCAACTGACCTTCGAATGGTCCTTCTACCTGGGCTGGGCCACCCTGCCGCTGCTGGCCCTGAGCGGTGAGAGCCGGGCCGCGGTGCTGGGGGGGGGGGGGCAGGAGCCAGGGGATGGGTGCTGGGGGGCAGGGGAGGGGGCACCGTGGGGAGCAGGGTGCTAGGGGGCGTGGTGGTGGTGGGCGCCGTGGGAATCTGGGTCAGGGTGCCACGGGGGGCAGAGTGCTGGGGGGAACGGGGTAGGGAGCCATGGGGCAGCAGGCGGCGGGGGGCAGCTGGGGTTGTGGGGGGCGGGGGTGCCGTGTTGGGGGGAGAAGGCTGGGGGACTGCAGGGAGGAGATGCTGCGCAGGGCGAGGGGAGGAAATCGGGGGAGGGGGCTGTGGGGAGATGGGGGCACTGTGGGGGGCAGGGCGCTGTGGGGTAGGAGGTGCTGGAGGGGGCTGTGGGGCTGTCTCCAATCTCTCCCATCTCCCCCCAGGTACCTTCGCCCTTGTGGCCCACCAGCGCCATGCGGGATACGAGAGGCAGTGACCGGAGCCCCGGAGAGATGGGGGACTGGATGGACCCCCCTGCTGGAGCGGAGCCGGCGCCCCCTAGAGGGGAAAGGCTTCGTGCCCCATTCCCTGCCACAGCAGGTCCCCGCCCTCTGCCGTGGGGCTGGAGGGCAGCTAGCGCCCCCAGATGCTCTAGTCGGTGGTTTTAGGGTCTGTTCATCTTTGGGCCTTTTCCTGCTTTGAAATAAATTGTCCCTTTGCATCCGAACCCCGTCTCCCCCCAGTTACTGGACCCACAGCGGGGACCGGGCTGGGTGGGCCCGGGGCCGATCGAGGGGGCCGCCTGGACCATGGGGGTTCCAGAATCTTGGGGTTACCATGGGAGTCAAGATGTGATTAGAGCCGCGGGAGGGGGGCCTGGCTCTTTGGCTCTAACCACTAGGCCTGACCCCGAGGGATACCTGGCCAATGGCCAGTGGCAGGGAGTCCCGGGGGGTAACCCCACCAATGCCCAGTGGTGGGCAGTACTGGGGGTTAACCCC